GGTGCTTCTTTTGGATCCGGACTAATTATATTAGGCTCATTTAAATGAAACTAGCATGGTGGATGGAGAAAGGGTGCCATTGCCTAATTGTTAAGATTGATTAGTTTATCAGTGAAGCACTCCATCCGTGTCCCTTATATGTGTGTTTCTTCTCTGTAAGGAAGTCTCTTTGTATCAGCATTAAAGAAAGAGTATTAATAAAGGGAGGGAAAAAAGCAAAATATGAACATGACGTAGTGGAGGATAGCCCAGTTTCATGGTACATATACCCTTGTGTACACCGTGTGGCGTACCATTGTAATGGACGGTAATCTATGTTGAAAGCTTAGCTGAACTTAGTTACCATAGTGTGCCTTAGGGTGCTTTCTGTGGGTCTCATTGGAATCCTTAATTCATATATATTTTAAAATTTCTTTTGCTTAAGACATTGCATTTCATAGACCACATGTAGTTTGGTGTAACGTACTCTCAGAACTTTAGTCAAGGCAGATGAATCATTTGTGGTCTTGCCCATACTTTAACTGCGGCTAAGGTGAACCATTCAATTCACTTTATTCAATCAGGTATTGTCTAGGCTTGCTCCTTTATGGTAGAATCTGATTGTTTTTAGATTCTGATATATGGGTAAGTTTATTGTAAATCTCAACAGTATGCTGAAGTATTCCAGTACATGCTAGTGGCTATTACACCAATGTGGCAACCTACATATATACTTAATTGAGTGAATGATTTACTTGATCACATCATAGTTACAGCATTGCCACCTTTTTTCTCTTTTCCAAATGTTAGAGCTTGTCTCACATGGGTATGATATTGCCTTCCAAACAAGTATATACTCTTATAAGCATCTCTACGCGGTACCGATTGATTGAGTTTGATCTTTTAACATGGCTTCAAAGTTGGGTTTTGGGTCAAACACCCTGTTTTGAAGTCATAAATATATTATTTTGTTCCCCTATGTTTGTGTCGTAAGTTCATCATGTTATTTCTCTAGTTAAATTTTACGGTTCTTTTTTCCTTTGTCTCCACATGTAAGTGGGAGTCACATGTGGGGATGTTAGAGTAGAGAATGTCAGAAATCATAGCACTGCCAAAACTAGCGTATCACTTGTGGGTGTGTCCACTCATTTCAGACTGGTTTTGAATCAGATGTTTAGCCTTTAGATAATGATGCATCAGCATTTAATGTGGCTATATTGGACCATGCAATAACTGCTGTTCCTTTTATGTTAGTTTCTCTGGAATATTGGGATATTAATCAAGAAACACGAGACATTGGTGTGGAGTTTTTATATTCTGTCTTAATTGCTTTCCAGGTCGCAATAGATTCAGCTACACCTCTTGATGATGCTGGTAACAGTGGAAACTTCATGATGGATAATGCTGCTGAACCATTTGGTGGTTATGGTGGTCCTATGCGTACCTATGGCAGGATGTATGGAAGCATGGATTTTGATGATGTGAGTATGAATATATATGATCCCTTATTGCAAAATGTTACAAATTGAGAGCACATTTTTTTGCTGACTACTACTACTGCCACTTCCATTGCTGCACTTACTACCAATACTACTTCTGCCAATGCTTCTTGTTTTACTATTACTACTAGTATTGTCTGCAGTTTTTTGTTAGAGCAGTTATACTATTATTCTTTGTTGACCACACTTATCATGGACCACCCTGTTTCCCCATTCAAGGCACCATCTGTTAACCTTTTTAAAGAAGTGCTCTCAACAAGTGAACGATTTAGTTTTTCTGTTTTTCTTTGTGCTAAAAATCAATAGTTAAAAAGGAAAGCACGATTTATAACTATTTTTTATGAATAATATATGTGAATTTGGGCACAAAAGAGTCTTGCTGTCTGTTTCTGAATTGTGTTTATGCTCAACAATTATTGGTGGTGGCATAATAGATCATATATGTTGTTTCTTGTGAGCTTTGAAATGGGCTAGGCTATGATTATGGATTTTCTTGTTTTGCAGTGGGGTTATGGCATGGGTGGGGGAAGACCTTCACGAGCAGATTTGAGGTACAGGCCTTACTAAGAGTTCAAGTCATGCCCCATGAGACTTAAATTGGTACTGAATCTGGCGTTCTTGTGAAGTTACTGACTCGCTGCATATGTGTGTTCTCACTTAAATTGCTTGCACAATGATTACATCACCAGAAGTTGACATTATTTATTAGTCTGTTTTATGCGGCAACCAACTCTCCGGAATTATCTAAAAGTTGATTTTATGATTGATTGTGTGTATGCTACCTTTTATATTATGTGCTAGTTACATGTCCACTTTATTAGGACTAATAATTCACAATCCTTGTGGGGAAATTGTATCTTTAATTTTAGATTACATTTCGTCTTTGACCTGTTTATGCTAATAACCTGATGCCTTCTGCAAGCCAAGCAATCCATAATTTTTTTTTCAGAGTAGTTGGTTCCAAGTTTATTGGGGGAGCTTATACACCGAATACTAAGCTACCCCAGTTAGTCTCGTGTGTTACCATTACCATAGGCTTGACTACTGTGTCTTGAGTTGTTGAGTAGACCTAAACGAGTAAATAGTCAAGGTGAAGGTCATATTACATCATTATTAACATATGGTATCACATTCTTTTGCATAAATTGCCACCTGGCCTAGTGAATCCAACGTGTGTTTACTTGTATGTGGGGATTCACCAGTCCAGGTGTTAGTTTGTGACTGAATAGCGAATGTTTATGCCACTGTTATGACAAGTGTTTCCTTGCCTAACTTTCCCTTTCTCTCTCCTCCAAAAAAGATTAGTCTTGTTTTTACATTTTTCCCCCCCTGCTCTATTGTTCTTTGCAAGGAAGCTGCTGGCATAGTCCACATTTTGGCTTCAGATTNCTTGTTTTCACATTTTTTCCCCCCCTGCTCTATTGTTCTTTGCAAGGAAGCTGCTGGCATAGTCCACATTTTGGCTCCAGATGTGTCTTTGGGTTCATGAATCCCATAGACTATTTAAGAAATTTAAGTGTTAAAAGCTGTTATTGGAATGTAATCTGCTTCCTTCTTAACCCCAAACGGCTTTCACATTCGATGGAACTCTCGCTCTCTCAATAACAAGAGAAAGCAATCTGACACAGAATCTGCATGGTTCCTATGGTAAATGCCATTTATCATTCATTGGTACTGTATATGTTTGGAGACGGGAAAGCTATCAACCNCGTCTTGCCCATACTTTAACTGCGGCTAAGGTGAACCATTCAATTCACTTTATTCAATCAGGTATTGTCTAGGCTTGCTCCTTTATGGTAGAATCTGATTGTTTTTAGATTCTGATATATGGGTAAGTTTATTGTAAATCTCAACAGTATGCTGAAGTATTCCAGTACATGCTAGTGGCTATTACACCAATGTGGCAACCTACATATATACTTAATTGAGTGAATGATTTACTTGATCACATCATAGTTACAGCATTGCCACCTTTTTTCTCTTTTCCAAATGTTAGAGCTTGTCTCACATGGGTATGATATTGCCTTCCAAACAAGTATATACTCTTATAAGCATCTCTACGCGGTACCGATTGATTGAGTTTGATCTTTTAACATGGCTTCAAAGTTGGGTTTTGGGTCAAACACCCTGTTTTGAAGTCATAAATATATTATTTTGTTCCCCTATGTTTGTGTCGTAAGTTCATCATGTTATTTCTCTAGTTAAATTTTACGGTTCTTTTTTCCTTTGTCTCCACATGTAAGTGGGAGTCACATGTGGGGATGTTAGAGTAGAGAATGTCAGAAATCATAGCACTGCCAAAACTAGCGTATCACTTGTGGGTGTGTCCACTCATTTCAGACTGGTTTTGAATCAGATGTTTAGCCTTTAGATAATGATGCATCAGCATTTAATGTGGCTATATTGGACCATGCAATAACTNTTGTGGGTGTGTCCACTCATTTCAGACTGGTTTTGAATCAGATGTTTAGCCTTTAGATAATGATGCATCAGCATTTAATGTGGCTATATTGGACCATGCAATAACTGCTGTTCCTTTTATGTTAGTTTCTCTGGAATATTGGGATATTAATCAAGAAACACGAGACATTGGTGTGGAGTTTTTATATTCTGTCTTAATNCTGCTGTTCCTTTTATGTTAGTTTCTCTGGAATATTGGGATATTAATCAAGAAACACATCAGACATTGGTGTGGAGTTTTTATATTCTATGTCTTAACTGCTTTCCAGGTCGCAATAGATTCAGCTACACCTCTTGATGATGCTGGTAACAGTGGAAACTTCATGATGGATAATGCTGCTGAACCATTTGGTGGTTATGGTGGTCCTATGCGTACCTATGGCAGGATGTATGGAAGCATGGATTTTGATGATGTGAGTATGAATATATATGATCCCTTATTGCAAAATGTTACAAATTGAGAGCACATTTTTTTGCTGACTACTACTACTGCCACTTCCATTGCTGCACTTACTACCAATACTACTTCTGCCAATGCTTCTTGTTTTACTATTACTACTAGTATTGTCTGCAGTTTTTTGTTAGAGCAGTTATACTATTATTCTTTGTTGACCACACTTATCATGGACCACCCTGTTTCCCCATTCAAGGCACCATCTGTTAACCTTTTTAAAGAAGTGCTCTCAACAAGTGAACGATTTAGTTTTTCTGTTTTTCTTTGTGCTAAAAATCAATAGTTAAAAAGGAAAGCACGATTTATAACTATTTTTTATGAATAATATATGTGAATTTGGGCACAAAAGAGTCTTGCTGTCTGTTTCTGAATTGTGTTTATGCTCAACAATTATTGGTGGTGGCATAATAGATCATATATGTTGTTTCTTGTGAGCTTTGAAATGGGCTAGGCTATGATTATGGATTTTCTTGTTTTGCAGTGGGGTTATGGCATGGGTGGGGGAAGACCTTCACGAGCAGATTTGAGGTACAGGCCTTACTAAGAGTTCAAGTCATGCCCCATGAGACTTAAATTGGTACTGAATCTGGCGTTCTTGTGAAGTTACTGACTCGCTGCATATGTGTGTTCTCACTTAAATTGCTTGCACAATGATTACATCACCAGAAGTTGACATTATTTATTAGTCTGTTTTATGCGGCAACCAACTCTCCGGAATTATCTAAAAGTTGATTTTATGATTGATTGTGTGTATGCNTTAGTCTGTTTTATGCGGCAACCAACTCTCCGGAATTATCTAAAAGTTGATTTTATGATTGATTGTGTGTATGCGACCTTTTTATATTATGTCCACTTATTAGGACTAATAATTCACAATCCTTGTGGGGAAATTGTATCTTTAATTTTAGAATACATTTCTTCTTTGACCTGTTTATGCTAATAACCTGATGCCTTCTGCAAGCAATCCATACTTTTTTTTTCAGAGTAGTTGGTTCCAAGTTTATTGGGGGAGCTTATACACCGAATACTAAGCTCCCCCAGTTAGTCTCGTGTGTTACCATTACCATAGGCTTGACTACTGTGTCTTGAGTTGTTGAGTAGACCTAAACGAGTAAATAGTCAAGGTGAAGGTCATATTACATCATTATTAACATATGGTATCACATTCTTTTGCATAAATTGCCACCTGGCCTAGTGAATCCAACGTGTGTTTACTTGTATGTGGGGATTCACCAGTCCAGGTGTTAGTTTGCGACTGAATAGCGAATGTTTATGCCACTGTTATGACGAGTGTTTCCTTGCCTAACTTTCCCTTTCTCTCTCCTCCAAAAAAGATTAGTCTTGTTTTCACATTTTTTTCCCTCCTGCTCTATTGTTCTTTGCAAGGAAGCTGCTGGCATAGTCCACATTTTGGCTCCAGATGTGTCTTTGGGTTCATGAATCCCATAGACTATTTAAGAAATTTAAGTGTTAAAAGCTGTTATTGGAATGTAATCTGCTTCCTTCTTAACCCCAAACGGCTTCACATTCGATGGAACTCCCGCTCTCTCAATAACAAGAGAAAGCAATCTGACACAGAATCTGCATGGTTCCTATGGTAAAAGCCATTTATCATTCATTGGTACTGTATATGTTTGGAGACGGGAAAGCTATCAACCNATCTGCATGGTTCCTATGGTAAATGCCATTTATCATTCATTGGTACTGTATATGTTTGGAGACGGGAAAGCTATCAACCAAGTGGCATATAACTACGTGTAATCTATGGTAACCAAAAATAATAATAATAATTTGGTATTATACCATCATTACAAGTTTTGTGGTTGTTTTTACGAAGTTTGAGTATTATTTATATAATGTTTAAAGGTTATTTATAAATTTTGAAGATCATTTACAACCTTTGTAAGTTATTTATAATTTTTTAGGGTCATTTACAACTTTTGATCAATCCATATGATAATCACCAGACATCAAAAAAGTTGAATGCTTTTTAACATATACAAAAAGCTAATATGAACTTTACATGAATTTTGAGACTATATTCAAAACGGATCTAACAGGATTCTCCAAGCATTTTACAAAAAAAAGAGTCAAGTTTACGACTATTTGAAGTATTAAGGGTAAAAGAAAGCCAAAATACCAAGATTGGCAAACGAGCAATGCTATGCACACTACAAGTGTGCATCAAAATGTGCACTAAATCATCTGTAATTGTTGAATCAATGGATTCTATCGTTGATCCAACGGCTGCAGATAATTTGGTGCACACTTTTGGTGCACATAGTTTCATCCTTGACAAACAGGTGTCAAGGATGCACCAGAAGAAAAATATGTGAGGAATTAAAATGGACGACAGGTAAAACAACTTCTGACAATGCCATCCATCTTGATGAACTTACGAAAGAATACAATTTTGGAGGAAGACCTCCGAACATGATTGGCGTGACTTTCAGACATTAAGCTTCTCATGTCTTGAGCTTTTGTCTGAGCAGCTCTCAGCTTGTTCAAGATCTTATCCATAGATGCCGATCTCTTCTTTTCCAATTTCACCTGAACCAAACTTGTCGTTAGCAGAAGAACACAGCCTCTATGCTCCGTCCACCTCTTTGAACTCGGAAAAAAAATTAAGAATAGTTTGCAAACACAGAACAGAATCGACGAGAAGAGAAGTATTGGGAAGTAAAACCTCAATCACTGGTTGATAATAAAGCATGAACATTCAAGGATGTCCCATTAACATTTTAATGTAAAGTAGAAATCATGCCAAGTTCAGACAAACCTCAAGTTTTCGAATTGCTGTCTCAGCTTTTGCCTTCTGTAAGTTCTCCCATGCAGTGATCTTGGCTTCCTCTCTTTGGAGTCTGCAAAGCTAATATATGATGATATCTCCGGGATACAGCAAGAACTCAGACAAATAAGGCCGTAGAAATCAAGACCTATTACTCCCTCTAATGTTGAGTTGTTAAAAAACACCAACTCAGGAGGTAGTAAAAAATTGCGAAAGACTGTGCGCGAAAGTNTATCTCCGGGATACAGCATGAACTCAGACAAATAAGGCCGTAGAAATCAAGACCTATTACTCCCTCTAATGTTGAGTTGTTAAAAAACACCAACTCAGGAGGTAGTAAAAAATTGCGAAAGACTGTGCGCGAAAGTTACTTATTCAAATACATATGAATGAGTGTTTGATGTAGGGGATATGATCCATCTGAACTTTATCTGCTAATTTTTTTGGAAGAGTGCAAACTATGAGATCAAAATAAATGAGCNGTGAAAGTTACTTATTCAAATACATATGAATGAGTGTTTGATGTAGGGGATATGATCCATCTGATCTTTATCTGCTAATTTTTTTGGAAGAGTGCAAACTATGAGATCAAAATAAATGAGCCTTCTCTGCATGTGCGGGAAGGGGGTTGGCAAGGAGCAATAGGTATAATTCAGATTCTCCACATAAATGCACTCTTGTATTGGTAGCAATTATCAAGGGCTATAGACCTTTGGAGAGGCAAGAAGATTTGGTGTGGATCAATTTTTGGAGTTGCTTGTCCATGAACAGCAGATGATAAGGCCTAGGTAAAAGGTCATCTTTCCAAACGGGAGAGCTGTCAATATGGCCACCTACACTTGAAGAAAGCTTCAGAAGTAGAAGGTGAAGTCAGTAACCATGTCAGAGAATAGTACAGAAACAGATGGAATTGGCCCACAAGAATGCTCCAGTACGTTTCTAGGGAAATCCTTCTATAGTATTTTAATAACAGCGGTGCAATGTGCTAAAAAGCTTGGTCTACAAATGCAAGAATGCGTGTTTGAGTATGAGGACAGCCACTTTCCATGAATAAAGCTTTAGGTTACATCCACATCTGACCAATCCCTCCAGCACCTTCAATTACTGGGACCTACTCGGCTATGATTTATGCAGATTAGATGTGCTTTGAATCTGTTGAGAATATCTTGGGTAATTTATGTCTAACCAGGAGGTGGTGGATGGATGGAGTTGAAAGGATCCACCTGATACAGGATCCAAAGTTTAGAGGTTTTTATTATTGTGGCCCCTATTTCTCTCACCGCCATAGTTCATGCAGAATGGTTAAAATGACAAGAATATAAAATGTCAGAAGCAAAACAGTGTTAAAATAACAAGAAAATTTTACATGGTGCCTTTTGGGTGCTCAAGCATGCCACAATTCAAATGGCGTTTTGTGTCATTTATGTCTATAGTTTGGTAGAATTGTAATGCATGTAGCCTCTCTCNTAAGAAGCAAAACAGTGTTAAAATAACAAGAAAATTTTACATGGTGCCTTTTGGGTGCTCAAGCATGCCACAATTCAAATGGCATTTTGTGTCATTTATGTCTATAGTTTGGTAGAATTGTAATGCATGTAGCCTCTCTCATCATGCATATGGTCATCATACTGATCTTTTCATGATTAATATTTTATGTAACAGGTGCAACAGGTAATACATTGATCAGCCTATTCGAATTATTTGTACAGAATAGAGCAATTCAATTATTTCCATGTCCTGTAGAGATTTTCGAACTTCAATGGCTTATGTTGTCCCTATGGTCTTCCCTGCAAGGCTTATGTTGGCCAAGTTCTCTCAGGATTTACTAATTCTAATTGCGAAGGCAGTATGGGAGTACTAATAAATTAGAAGACATCCAGAAAAATAGAAACATACTTTGATGTGTTCTCTGCTGCCTCTGCAATATCCCAAGATGAAGTCAGGTCCGTAACATTTGGTGATTGTATTTTTGTCATTCTCAGCCCATGTTTTTTAGACTGGCACGTTACAGTGGCTCCTTTGTCCACCTGCACATCTCTAACTTCCACTTTAGCCGAATGGTTTCCATGTGGCTTCACTGCAGGATAGAGTAAGGGAGGAGAGGTAGAGAACAAGGACTTCACTTCGGGAGATGAATGGGTGCTGCCCTCTGGGCTCATCTGGGTAGCCACATCACGTTGTGAAACAGCAGTGGAGACCATAGTTTTCGGATCCTTGGTGCAATCAAGCTTCTCATCTGTACATTTGACACAACAGTGATAAGCTAACATCAGAAAATGTATTTGTTATGGATATTCCCATTATTATCAGTATGATTTCTGTGGCAAGATAAGCGAAATCTGCCAAAGGAGCCCACAGGGTGCAATATAGTCTATGTAAACATAACGAACACAAGGAAGCTAAAGGCCTACAATCATCAAGAAACAAACTCAAGCAATTTACAACATAATCAGCCGAATAGATAACACTACCCATCAAAAAGAGGGTGCCTAAAATGACATGCTTTGCTCTGAACAAAGGAATCTCTTGTCCCTCGTATGTTCTCCTATCACACACTCTCCTTACACACCAAAAGCGACTCAAAGGAGCTGCTCTTCAATCTTTCCACTACTGATAACAACTGTTCTGCACTCCTAAACTGATCATAGGGATTTCGACAGACATAGACATCAAAATGGAGTCCATGCCCCATAGTATTTGTCTATGGCATTTCCATTAGCTATTTCTTTTCTCAATACATCCCCCAAAATGGTAATTTTACCCGAAAACGATAGAATAGATTATTCATTTTTTAATAAGAGCCACATGCGGATCTGTTTGATCTAAACAATTTAACACACAAGATACTTACACGTTTGCCTTAGTATTTCATATGCACAATTTAATTTCAATTAATATAATAACTTTGAATATTTGCTCTATGCTGTTCAAAAAGCGCACATATATCTACAGTTTTTATGTCCACAAGCACGGAAAAAACATCCACCCATACTTAACAAGATAGGAACTTGGAATATTGTAGTTTAAGTCTGCCATTTGGGAATGTATTCTCCTGTGTCAATCAACACTTATTTGGCTATCCGGCATCATAATTTTAAATTTTGAAAGGAGCCATATCTGTTACTTCAAAATTTTTAGAGGTCACAAAATTATCTCAGTTGAGACTGAGATAAGAACAGACTACATATTCAGTTTGCCAATGATTTCCACCACAACTATTTCCTTTTCTATTTTCTTTTGCTTTCAGAAGTACCGCAGCAGTTCTGCTGCACGACAGAGATACAACAAAAAATGATGCCACTCATATAACTGGATTGTCACTTCACTTCTCCACAAGAACTATCTCATAAAAACTTTTGAAGTGCAAATCTAACAATGGTATCACTTTGAGGTACTGTAAGGATTCTCCAGCAATCTTGAAATCATCTGAACTTATATGTTGGATTCTCTGTTTTAGGGCTAACAAGAGTTGCAAAATACATCTAAACCCACCTTTCAGTGAGACTGGAATGGCACTGATTCTTAATTATCCAGAAATCAAGCTTTCAAATTACCATCTCCAAATGCTCCAATCAACAAGAAATAACTTTCTATTACAGGTGGATTTTGTTTCTTTTTTATGAGTCCTAAATTGTCAATGCAAAAGTATGTTTTCCAAAATTTGTAATAAGCTTGTCGATCCTTTGTCCTAAGCTCCTCTGCAATCGGGAAAANTCTATTACAGGTGGATTTTGTTTCTTTTTTATGAGTCCTAAATTGTCAATGCAAAAGTATGTTTTCCGAAATTTGTAATAAGCTTGTCGATCCTTTGTCCTAAGCTCCTCTGCAATCGGGAAAANTCCAATCTTTCCACTACTGATAACAACTGTTCTGCACTCCTAAACTGATCATAGGGATTTCGACAAACATAGACATCAAAATGGAGTCCATGCCCCATAGTATTTGTCTATGGCATTTCCATTAGCTATTTCTTTTCTCAATACATCCCCCAAAATGGTAATTNAAAACAGACTTATTTTCATCCTAACCCTTCGATTCAAGGTTTCCAGCGCACCCCCATCTAGTCTAGCTTTTATAAATAAGTTAAAGGTGATCCATTTGCAAATTTGATTCACACGAACAGGTACCCAAAACAGAAGTTCTTTTTAGGTAATGTAACCTATTATGAAGCCATTCAAAACATTAAAAGAGTACCCACAGAACTGTATGAACCTCATATTTGTCTATTCAGGTAATATGAAGAAGCATACATCTAAATATGAAGAAGCTGGGTATCATACAGACTGAATGAGTCCTAAAAGCTAAGGAACGAACATTATACCTTGGGAGCTGGGTAATGAAGCTTCACTTAACAAATCCAACCATCCAGGTACGTTACTAGTTGGGGCCATACTATTCTCAGCTTCTACAGATTTAGATTGGAGATCAATGCCCCCACCATAGTGAACAGGCAGATTATCAGCAACCAGTACACCAGTTATCAATGGCGAACCCACCATAAAATTGCTCCCACTTCCTCGGTCGAGCGCCGGTACAGCAGGTGAACCATTCGAGAAATATACAGCCTCCGGAGTGCCCAATGGGCCACTCTTCGACTTAGGTNTGTCAATGGCGAACCCACCATAAAATTGCTCCCACTTCCTCGGTCTAGCGCCGGTACAGCAGGTGAAGCATTCGAGAAATATACAGCCTCCGGAGTGCCCAATGGGCCACTCTTCGACTTAGGTTGCCTCTGAGGTTGCACAGGTGAAATCTTGCAGACCCCAAATCCTGAGACCGGGCTGGTTATCCACCTCTCTGCATCATCCCATTTCGAAGGCAAAGCCCTTCCACTATTGAAGGGCATCAACGCAGCAACACTAATATGCCTTCGGCTACTGTTTGCCTGCAAAGGTACTCGTTCTGACTGCCAACCCTTTTGAATCCCTCCCATATGGTTATCCCCATATTCGGGGGTTCCAGGGCTTGTATATGTACCTGAATTGCGCAATGAAGTGGAATTTTTCTTCATGACTCAACTTTGGTGAAAAAACCGTCGCATTGCTTACAGGATTTCTTCAAATCTATTAATGAGTAATGCCAAGTCCCTGAGTTAGATTTTTGAAGAAAAATAAACTCAAATTCTTCAAAGAAATGCAATTTCACATACACCCAATTGTAAGGAAATTGTCTTCCATCTTTGCTATTTCATCTTCTTGTTCATGATTTTTATCCCCCGAAAATAAATCAAATCATGCTCCTAAGCGAAAAACCATAATGCTGATTTAGTTTCACTCTTACTTATTATATATGACCCGTTTGTATGCATCCATGGATCTTTGCTTTGTCTTAGTGGTGAGTGAGTTTCTGTAATCTAGAATTTTTGGGTCTGAGTTCTGGACCACTGGAAGTGAATGAAGGTCAGGCACTGCCAAGAACCAAATCAAATCAAACATTTACTTGCAAGGAAATCATCGATTTTTCACGGTGAATCGATTAGAAACATCAAAGGCTTCATCACCTACTCAATGCCACACGAACAACCAACCAACCTATCTTTGTCAATCTCAGAAATACATTTTTCCCATCCCAAATTCAAAAAAACTCGACACTTGAAAACAAAACAGAAGCAAAAGACTACTGATAGATATACATTCACATACATACCTTGGGAAGGGTCAGAAAACCAGAGCTCTGTTCCGAATCAACGCTACAAGTCGATTTGAACAGAAATGCAAGTAGATGACAGACACTGTTAGTCAAAAATGAAGTTAAATTGAGTGGACCAATGGTGGGTCTGATTTCTTTCAGGAAGCGGGTTATGTGTGCCAGTTCAATAATAGCCACTGGTTTTGTTTTGTAATGCTTACAGGATGTTTGACGAAAGGAAATGCCCTAAAGAGGTCAGTGTCTCTGAGATTTTGTCAGGTTCTGGTCAGAATGACGAAGGTCGACTCGAGGTGGCATTCTACGGTCTGAAAACTATAAGGCGATCCCATGTGCCATGCCTCTAATTAGGGGGATAGGGGCGTGGCGTTTTTGGCTTTTATGTGTTTTTGTACATTATATTATAGGGTAAAGTTCACTAAAACCCCCTGAAAAATAGCCTAATTTCAGAGACACCCCTATAATTTCTGAAATATCACTGTCATTCCCTGTCAAATTTTGTCATCCATGGAATAGACGGAAATTCTATATTTACATAATTACCCTTAACAAAAAAACTCCGTTTACTCATTTACACTTAATAGAACATTAAATTTCATTAACTTAAAATTTAATTTATTAAAATCAATTTTAATGTCATTAGTTAATTTTATCAATTAACATTTACTTTTATTAATTCAAATATTAATTTCATCACACTACCACTAATTTTATTAATTTAACACCAAATTAATATATAGTTTTATCAAATTCATATTCAATTTGATCAAATTAATATTTTAAAATTTAATTTCATAGAATTTAGTTTCAGACATTTAATTTCATTAATTCAAACATTAATTTAATCACATAACACTAATTTCATCAATATAACACCAAATTAATCTTTAATTTCATTAAATTCATATTTAATTTCATCAAATTAACATTTTAAATTTTAAAGGTTGATTTGAGGAAAATTTAATATTTTTTTGATGAAATTTGAGGTCAATTTTGTGTTAATTTGACAAAATCGAAAGACAATTGGGTGGATGTAATGTTAATTTTTATGAAATTATATGTTAATTTGACAAGATTCAATGTTAATTTTAGAAATTTGATGGTCTCTATTGATTAAATATAATATTAATTTAGTGTTGATTTGATTAAATTGGACATGAGATTTGTTTGGGTGTAAGATTAATATCATTCAAAAAGAGTATAAAGAATGTTTAGGTATATGAATAATATTTTATGTTTTACATTTAAAGGGCAAATTTATAATTTAAGAGATAAAATTCGCTGACATCAACACTTTTTTGGCTTTGTCAATAACACCATTGACGACAGGGGTAATAATTGAAACAGACATGAATTATAGGGGTAACAATGATATTTTAAAAATTATAAGAGATGTCCTTATAATTAGGCTATTTTATGGGTTGATTTTAAGATTGCATGTTCGAATCTCGTTGTCCTCTTTTTGTAATAGTGGTTGATTAAAAAGAAAAAATTTTGGAAATATTTTTAGGCATAAATTACAATAACAATACTTTAAATCTAGATTTTGTGTTATTTTTTCTATTCTTTTGATTATGTCAATTTAATTTGTTAAATTTCTATCTAAAAATGAGTCATGTTATTATAATTTAACTTGACTAACTAAAGTAGTCATGTGTATTTCGATCAAACTCAAAAGTGATAATTTCAATTTACCAAATGTTTTGAAATTAAGCCAATTTCATCCCTTTATTTTTTAATTTTTTTCATCCCTAGTCCTTCAGAATTTCTAATTTTTATTATTTGATCTAATCAAAATGAGAATTTAACGATAAAAATACGAATGGTTAAACACAAACAACTCAGATAATAAAAATCACAAATAGTGAAATCAGCAATGAAATTAGACATATCACATAGTTCAACTACCATCAAACATAATTTCTTACTTGGTTTATTTTAGTGACATAACAAGTGACATTTAGACATATAAATTCATATTCATATCAAATAATTATATCCTACAAGACCATAATCAAACCGAACAATCATAACTTGCATTGCCACAATCATTTACATTCTTATATATCATCCTGCTTTCGATCAACCATATCAAAAAAAATTGTTGTCGTTCATATACAAATGCAGCTCCACTGCTTGATCAACCAGATCAAAAAAGCCATCCAAGCTTTATGCATTTAAATTGTGCAGGACCCGTAAGCATTTAGCCCGGAGTGAAGGGCTGGCCTGGGCTAACTTTTTCAGAGCCTGGTAGTCCAACAGGCAGGCCCATTTATTTGCCCGATGTCATAGTGTATGCATCATTCCATACTTGCCACTTTTCGAGAGAAAAAAAAAAAAAACTACCATCTTATTAAATATATTTCAAGTTGGATTTCTTGAACGAGGATGAGAAAGTTGGGTTGAAAATCTCGGATTTAAGACCTTGAGTTGTTTCCAACCCTAATATCCGCCACCAGAGTATTGAGACTCCCACAAAATGAGATAATAACAACAACAAAACGTCGTAACATTTTTAAAAAATTAGCTTCACATTCATAAGCTTGGAAACGATAATGCTGTTTTTTTAATGTAGGCAATCAATTACAAATCACGTGGAATACTAGTTAAACACGTGGTTAATACATTTGCATGGATCGACCGAATTTTGACGTGTGTGCAAATTTACGTTTCGCTTTTAATTCAATCACTGAATTAATAGTCCCATGTTTAGCATTAGGTTTAGCTCAAATATATATATATACATATATCCTAAAACAAAATGCTATTTGCACATAAATTTAGAAACTTAATTAATTATATATAACTGTCAAATTATAAGTTAATTTTCCTTTTTTTAAAATGTATAACTAATTTAATGAGGACAATGTTATACCTTCAAAGGAAGCTAGAAGAAAACTCCCCTTGTATTGGAGCAATGGAGGTTTTGGCCAATGCAAGGGTAGGACTCTTCACGTGTTTTTTTCAGAGAGAGAGGGGCTTTGAGTGGTAGGAACGGGGGAGCAACATGGACAATTATCAGCCTCAATGGAGCTCATTTTATACAAAGAGAATGAGACACTTGGAGTAGTAGGCACAGAATGGGAGCCACGTGGTCAATTATCAACCACAATTTTAAAGAAAATGTAATTTGAATTTAATTTGAGCATCTGTTAAAGAAAATATTGAATGGAACCGTGACAATACATCATTATTGTTATGTAGTGTTATTAATTAATAATAAATCAAAATATAAGTAAACCCCATTTAATTTAGTTTTATATCGATTTAGAAAAATAACCACCGTGTGTGTAAAGAAGTGGCGTTCACTTGTCAATTTGTAAGTTTTATTATTAGACGGAGACACCAAATGATGATGGTAACATAGTGTCACTATTATACCCAATACTTTCTCCTAGAATGTGACCTAATTTAATACAACTATTAGATTAAAAATGAGTTTTTTTTAATGTTAGAATTTGCTATTAATCCAATGATTGTATTGAATAAAGTCCTNGGCGTTCACTTGTCAATTTGTAAGTTTTATTATTAGATGGAGACACCAAATGATGATGGTAACATAGTGTCACTATTATACCCAATACTTTCTCCTAGAATGTGACCTAATTTAATACAATTATTAGATTAAAAATGAGTTTTTTTTTAATGTTAGAATTTGCTATTAATCCAATGATTGTATTGAATAAAGTCCTCAGATTAAGTTCTTAAAAGGATTACTTCAATTTTTATAGGTGGCCAAGTTTCAGATGGACATATGATACTTGATTAGCTTACCAAAAAGTTTACCAAGAGTTNCTCAGATTAAATTCTTAAAAGATTACTTCAATTTTTATAGGTGGCCAAGTTTCAGATGGACATATGATACTTGATTAGCTTACCAAAAAGTTTACCAAGAGTTCAGTAAAATAATATGGAAGATTAGATTAGTGGGTTTTATCGAATTTTTCCAATAAGATCCGACTATGTTCTTGAATATCAAAGTTTTAGATTACACTTGAGAGAATTTCTTAGACGTGGTATANGAAAGATTAGATTAGTGGGTTTTATCGAATTTTTCCAATACTATATTCTTGAATATCAAAGTTTTAGATTACACTTGAGAGAATTTCTTAGACGTGGTATAAAATTTTTTCTCGCACTTAACCCCTCTAGTTCTGAAAGCCTTAGATTTACATGAAATTCAAGTTGGTAAGGTTTTGGAAAAATCTACTATATCGGTATTAAAAGGATATTGAGAAAAGTTATGGCTTAATAAACTGAAAAATAGTTAAATTATTGAAAGATATCTTCTTCTTCTTTTTTGGGTCAGATTGAAGAGAACAAAGCTATAGTTTGTTGAGATTTTAGAATGTTAAAATTTTAATTGGTCCTTAAATTTTTAGAATTGATCACAATTAGATTCCATTAAATCGTAATTTAATCTAATTAGATCGTAATTTTCAATATAATGCGATTTTATAAAAGTCCCCAAAGGTTTTATACTTGAATAATTAAGTTCTTTTTGGGCATTATGCCTAAGGATTGGGGAAAAAAACAATGTTTACATTAGAAGACACCATATCTATAAAACCTATCTAATATTACAACTAAGAAATTGAATCATCAACTTGTAAAATTGTAACAATGGTTAATATTGATTCAATTTTTATCTATTTTAATTTAATGGTTCAAAATTCATTTCAAATTTTTTTTATTATAACTAAAGAAAAGAAAAAAATAAATAAATTAATATTTAAAATACAAATATTATACAATCAATATTTAATTTTTAATATTATAGAATATCTTCAGCCAATTAACTAGATTTAATTAGATCAGAATTCGATTGATCCATGTCTGATTTTAATTTAAAAACTTTGATATGAATTTATCCAAACCCGAATAAATGATAGATTATTTCTCATAATTCATATTGATTCATCAAAAATAGAAATTTGTNTGATCCATGTCTGATTTTAATTTAAAAACTTTGATATGAATTTATCCAAACCCGATTAAATGATAGATTATTTCTCATAATTCATATTGATTCATCAAAAATAGAAATTTGTTTTTAAAAACGTGATTTGAATAACTCAAATAAATTTAAT